GCGTCCCCCCATGAGGCTCTACTTGAACTAAACTATCACCTTAGAGCAGTGTTTCTCAACCTTGGCAACTTTAAGTTCTGTGGACTTCAATTCCCAGAATTCCCCAGCCAGCATGCTGGCTGGGGAATTCTGGAAATTGAAGTCCACAGATAAAGTTGCCATGGTTGAGAAACACTGCTTTAGAGTGTGATGGAGAAATGGCCAGTCTTGTCCCCAGAACAATCCAGTTGCCCTCAGACATATTTCCTCCACTCAACACTCCCTGCATATGGACCGCAACATTCCATTTCTGCTTGACATTGTCAACAGCCTGCTGCCGAGGGAATTTAAAGTTGCAGTCCAGTGCACATCCTGAGGATGGCAAATTGGGGAAATCTGTAGCCCAAGCAGGATTAAATTTTATAAATTCCCACAAAACCAAATTCGCTCATTAAATGCTATTCGAGTATCTTTAACCCCCACAGGAATGGGGGTATCCTATGAAAATCAAAATTCTGTGCCTACATGAGCCGAAAATTCTATGCAAGGTAAATTCTGAAACTCTTTCTGGCGTATTTTATTCCAAATCACTGATTTCACTTTGCTCCATTACACATAGTAGTAAACAGCTATGCAGGTGTACTCTCTCCAGCTCCTGATAATCTTGAGAGATTTCAGCAAGTGCTGACCAAACAGTTTCAATCACATTTTCAAAGCAAGGATCTCCTTTTTCAAGGGGGAAAGGAGAGAGGAAGGTGGAAAGGAAACTGATCTAACAATGAAGGTTCCATGCATCAGACACTCCACCAACTGCTTGTTCTTCTAGCTACATCTCTTTGGCCCAAATGATCATTATAATACAAGACTGCAAATTACTTATTTCTCTGCCATGTAGGTAGTAGGAACACTGAATTTTACAACACTGCAGCTCCTAACTCTTATTCCCCTAGGTGTTGCAATAAATATAGGAGAGTTCTTCCATCAACAATTTATTTGCAATAATTCCACTATTCTTATTTCAGGAGACAGCCAGGCAGCTAACAAAGCTCAGGAACCTGAAAAAAAGCAGCTATCTTGACCCAACTTCTCCAGTCTGACTCCCTGCAGATAGGAAGTGACTGCAACTTCCAGAATCCCCATCTCCAGCACACTAGAGGCAATCAGTCTGTGCAAACTTGCTGACAATCAGCATCACTACCCAGAACTGAAGCCAAATTCAGAAAAAAGGAGGTGGGTGAGCAGAACATTTGCAAATCACAGAGGTTCCAAGAAGGAACACCTAACAGTAAGGGCATCGTGAGAAGTTTTTATATATCTTGATAGGAAAGAACTTTATGTCAATTGTTAACCTGGCCAGAATTATGAGAGAAAAGAATCACTTACGTGGCAGAAGGTCTGGATGATGGGCTCACATGCTCGCATCAACAAGGCTTCTATCTGGATATCCTGTCAGAGGAACCCAGAAACCAGTCAGTTCACTCTGGATCATACCCAATTTTTTTTAACACAGCTATGCTCTTGGATTGTTAATACTTCTGGTTCCAATACTGGCAATTAAAGTGACAATTAAATAGTTACCAGCACATAAATACTGCAAGAGGTGTCAGAGATGATTATAGTGCCATCCTATACTTCATTCGTCCTTCTATTCTAAAAATTTTAAACCATTTTATTCCTTTCCCATTCCCAGAACATCTCCTTGGCCTCATGCAAAACCTGTATACAGGTCAGGAGGCCACAGTATGGAGAGAGAACACAGCAAAACAGGCTGGCTGCAGGTTGGCAAAAGAGTGTGACAAGGCTTCATACTCTTCCCTTATTTATTCAACCTGTATGCTATATATATATATATTAAGGGAAGCTGGATTGGAAGAAGTGTGATTTTAAAACTGAAAGAAGAAACATCAATAACCTGCACTATGATGATGATACTGTTCTGATAGCCAAAAATCCAAAGGCGCTCTAGTAATGAAAATCAAAGAGCACTGTGAAGAAATGGGACTAACATTAAATATAAAGAAGACCAAACTAATGACAACAGGCAGAACAGCCAGCCTTAGAACTGACAATGAAGATACTGAATTGGCAGAGAGCTTCTGCCTTTTAGGGTCAACCATCAACCATAAAGGAACAAGCAATCAAGAAATACACCACAGACTAGTACTTGGTACAGCAATGATGAAGGCCTTGGAAAAGATACTCAGATGCTTTGATGTGTCCATACCTACAGAGGTCAGAATTGTGCAAACAATGGTATTCCCTGTGACAATCTATGGAAGCAAAAGTTGGACTCTGAAGAAGCAGGATGGTAAGAGTATTGACGCTTTTGAATTTTGGTGTTGGAGAACACTCCTGAGAATACCGTGGACAATAAAAGAAAACAAACAAATGGGTAATCAAACGAATCAACCCAGAGGTCTCCCTCGAGGCACCAATGACCAGGCTAAAATTATCATATTCTGGACACATTATACAAAGATCTAGCAGCTCTCTGTAAAAGGCTGTGATGCTGGGAAAAGTGGAAGGAAAGAGGACAACCAACAGCAAGATGGACAGACTCAGTTATAGTGATGATGAATGCACCATTGGACTAGGTTAGGGACAGACTGAGGGATGGATTGTCACGGAGAAAAACTGTGTGGTTGCTAAAGTTGATACCAACTTCATGGCACATAATCAATCAATATTTATTTCCATACCCTGACTATTAGTGTATAGACAATAAAGGCCATGAATTTTACAAGCCAATGTTCTTCCTGGTACTTTACTGATATAACAGGTCCTCATTACAGCAATACTCCTGCTTCTTTCTAGAGCGCACAATCTTTACCTGAGGTCCTTACCTCAGGTTTTCAACTGCAATCCCAAGGATGCATATTAAAATCCCTTACAACAAATATGCCATCCTTCAGCAAAGCAAATTTTAACCTATCCTTGTGAGGTACAGCTCATCTGTGCCAGCAGTCCATGATAGAAATAACTTAGTCCATGGTCCCAGAAACCTAACTTTCATCATCTGCAATATTTCAAGTCCTCTTCCATTGATTAAGGAGGGATAGGAACACCATCTGAACCCCCAGATCTTAAGCTTTCTTCTTAAATCTTCAAAATCCATGGCGAGGACATTGTAGATGGCCTTGGCAAAATCATTTGCCCAACATGAATTACTAGAAGTGATAACTGTCGGTAGAGTTGATAAGTCTTGGAAGGGATTCTGTCCTATATCTAAGCTGTGTTCCTAGCATACAGCACACTTCATGAAGTCATGGATCAAACTGGCTCACATTTGTTTCTGTTCCCTGCAGTACTGAACTGTCAGCTACCACATTATTTATTCTTTTTCTCTCTTCTTCAGAGATCCATTCTTATATCTTCTGTTCAACACTGGGTTTTTTTTTTCCTTCCCTACAAACTTCAAAGATGTTTTTGAGTTCCAAAATTGTAGAGTATCTTCTACTTCTCTTATTTTGGGTTATCACACTCATCCATTAGGTTTACTCTTTGATTCTCTTTTTATAGAAAACTGCTTTCTCCATCAGGCCCTCTTATAGCACCTCCTTTGTTTAGTCTTTGTTCTTTGTCCTCTCCTATGAGGGGACATCTGGACATTGTTGTGCCAATCCCAGTACTCTTCCTTAAGCATCTCAACAAGCATTGCAGCATGTGCAAATATTACATTTCCACTTGCAAATAAATGCAACTTTTTTTCAGGTCAGCACATATACATCACAAGCATTGCACATCACAACTAGTCATGGCTGTTCATTTTCACAAGTTATTTAAGGCAGCACCAATAAAAAGGCTTTTATTTCTTCTTGTTTCTTCTCAGGCACTCAGATTAGCCGAGTATATACTGTCAAGCTAAAGAAAAAAAAAATTGGAGACTCCTCCACTTAATTCTGCTGCCAAGCTCCTGTTAGGTCTCTCTGCTTATTCAATCGACGAATTTACTCCCTGGAAAATGGCTACTTGATATTTTTCCTAAGTTTCTGCAGCAGCTTCTGCTTTCTCAGCAAAAAGGAGTCACTCAAGAAACATCACTTTTAGATAGATAGATAGATAGATAGATAGATAGATAGATAGATAGATAGATAGATAGATAGATAGATAGATAGATAGATAGGACTGACGGACTATAATAAACAAGGTAGGGAAAACATGCAGACTGTGACTTCTGTAATTCTTTCTTTTTTCTCAACAGTCTGAAAACGGATTCATTCCACTTTTGAACTCAAATCTTCTTTTGTTGACTTCCCCACCATATCAAGTTTGGTTCCCATCTCTTTCAGGGTTTTTTTTAGAGGTACCCCACAGATGGACAGTGTGAGGGAATGAAGTCGGGGTTGCTGTCTGTGCTTGGGAAAAGTAGCTGCAGCCAGGCAGAAACACTTCTCACCCCATTTCCCTAACTCAAACTTTACTTGCAAGCATCTAAGCCAGTGTTCCAGCTGCCTGTGATAATTGAGCCACACCCTGGCATTTTCAAGGACATGCAGATGTCACCCCCACCCAGGCTCTGAGCTTAGAAAAGCAAATGCTAAGACAGAGGGGACGGGCGTGTAGGAGAAAAGGAGATAGGAAACCGGCAAGCAGGCGAGGAAGCGGGAGGCGAGGTCTGGAGATGGACAGCTATTACAGGCAGGCAAGAGGACTATCAGTCAACTGCCAGGACCACAAGCTACTGTAAGCAGCATATCCTGGTGGGATTCCTGCCTGGAGCGTGGCTTCGGAGCTCAGCTGGAGTGCTCAAAAGCAACACTACTTAAGAGCAGAGCTTGGAGCTTGGCAGCAACTAGAAAAGGAACAACCACACTAAGGCAGCACCTCATCCCAATTTGTGCAAGAACTTTGGGGAAAAGGCAAAGGTTGCGTGCTACTTTATAGACCTTGAGACTTTTCTTTGAACTGAGTATAAAGGACTGAGTATTAAAGACATATTTAGTGGCAACAGCAACTTGCAAGTCCTAGATGGGTGGAGTTGACCCAGAGCAATAGCCTGTTTTGTACAGATTTGCTACACTGTGGTGTGTCCAGTCCTTGGAAAACAAAGAACCCTCACAGATCCTGGATCAAGTCTCTTTACATAATTTCTTATTTTGGATTAGAAAGAATCAAAGGCACAGACTACACACACACGGCTTATTTGATAATAAGTGTGTTTCCTTGACTACCAGGATTTCCAGTGATAGCAGCCTTTGGTTATTTTGCAATGTCTGCCCATTCTAAGACATTGGAAGATAACGCGTAGCTTGCAATCCACTGACAATGACTCAGTGTAAAGTGCAACAAAATAGTGGAGCTTCTTCTTTTGAAGAAAGCTACCTTACCTCAGATTCCAGCTCTGTAAGGTTTCCAACAATGTCTCTGCAATCAGTTACCAGGTCATCCAGATGGTCCTGTAGACATTCAAGTTCCTGAACAGGGCAAATATAATTAACACATAATATGAACAGGTCCATTTCATTTTTCCTTTGAGAATCCACACCAAACGCATGATGAAATTGCTCTGGATTACTTACTTTTCCACAAAAGTGTCCCCCAGGATTCTGCTATGGATTTTAACAATGGGGGTTTTACCATTTTTCCAACAAACATAAATTCTGGCCCAGTAAGTCACAATTCTTGCTCCAGGTTTGGTTGAAGTGTAAGAGAACCTTGGAAAAGCCGAGGTTCACGCCCCTCTGAAATACCACTGATCTCTCAACTGATTTTTAGCTAAAAATGTTTGACTTAAGACACAATGCTAGAACCAAAATGACTTCTCATTCTTGCATAATATTAGTAAATTTATATGGAACATGCTTGGCTTTTTAATTTTAATGTACACATATTTCACAACTAGATTACAGTATTTTTGGTTCTGAATCCTTTACTTCCTATTCATCTTGCTGAATAAGCAACTTTCCTTGCTACAGTAAACAGCTTTTGGGCAGCCAATCTTCACTCAAGTATGCAAGATGCCTTTTAACGGTCTACCTGTAAGAGCAAGTGTCAAAACCAATCTCCCTTAATCAAACTACTCCAAGCTCCTTGGAAGAAAGGCAAGATATAGTCACATGAAAAAGCTTCTGAAGAAAATATTCATAGCTTTGTTCACATGTTAATTATACAGATACAGTAGTCCTTGACTTACAACAGGGATCAGAAAATTTGTCATTAAGGGGTGCAGTCATTAAGTAAGGCATCATGTGACTGCAACCGATTTTACCACCTTTTTTGCTACAGTCATTATACAAATCACTGTGGTCGTTAAGCAAGAAATCATGTGACCATGACTTGCAACCTTCCCTGCCAACTTCCCCATTGATTTTGCTTGTCAGAAGCCAGCTCAGGTCATGAATGGAGATCATGTGACTGCAGGACGCTGCAACAAATGCACAACAGTTGCCAAGGGCCCGAATCACAATCACATGACCACAGAGACATTGTAATGGTCATAACTCCAAGGATCGGTCGTAAGTCACTTTTTTCAGTGCTGTTGTAACTTTGAATGGTCGCTAAACAAATGGTCGTAAATCGAGGATAACCTGTACTGAACAATTAAGTCAGTTTAGGGAAGCTTACTATGAAAAGGAGCCAGAAGGATCCCCTGATTTGGGACCCTTCTTGCTCCATTAGAATTTCTACATTAACATGCTGAAGTGATGACAAAAGACAAAGCTACCAGCCTGAAGTAGCTTTTCCAGGTTTGCCACCAAGTTACTTCTTTGGGTTCTCTTTCTTCTATCCAAACTATTCACTACACATTTTCCCTCAACATCTATATTTCAAACACCATTAAACTTTAATAATGTAACCATCCTGTTTCTTGACCAGCATCTCACAACTCCCTTTTCTCTATTAGGTTAAAAATAAGTATTTCTCATGAAGCAGCTTTTCTTCTGTTCTTTGCTATCTCTAAATATGAAACTTTCATTTCAATCACCAAAGATGGCAAGCTGCTTCATTCTATGATCAACTGCCTACAAGTAGTCCTCAAGTTACAACGGCAACTGGGACCGGAATTTCCATCACCAAGCGGTATGATTGTAAAGCATTACGTCACATGACCGTATCACTTAGTGACAGCAATCCCTGCAGTCCCCATTGTCGTTGTTAAGCAAGGATTGTGGGTCATTAAGCGAGCATCTCCTTGCAATTTCCTGAAAGCTTCCAACAACCAAGTCAGCAGTTTGCAAGTCCCAGGTGGCTTGCAATTAGGCTGCCAGGCAGGTAAGTGGCTGCTGCTGGTGGGAGAAGGAGAAGGAGTGAGGAGGTGTGTGGGTGGCCGGGGAGGCACGGCACAAGCACAGCAGGGCTTAGGGTGGCTGGTACCAGGTGGGAGAGGGTGCGTGAGGGTGCACGAGTGGCCAGGGAAGGTGCGTGAGTGGCGGGGGAGGTACAGTGCAAGTGGCAGGGGAGACACAAGCATAGCAAGGCTCAGGGAGGGTTAGCAAGGGTGCACAGGTGGCGGAGTCACATCATGAGTGTGGCACGGCTTGGGATGGCTGCTACTGGGTGGGAGAGGGCTCACAAGGGTGGGCAAGTGGTGGGGGAGGAACACTGTGAGCACAGAGGGGCTGAAGGAGGGTGCACAGGTATGCGAGACTTACCCAAGCAACTTGCAACCTTCCCTGCAGGCTTCCCTATTTACTTTGCTTGTGAGAAGCTAGCAGAGAAGGTCACAAATGTAATCACATGACCGCAGGACACTGCAACCGTCGTTAAGTGTGAGCTGGTTGCCAAGCACCCAGATTGCGATCCTGTGACCACAGGGATGCTGGGACAGCCGGAACTTCAAAGACCGGTTGTAACCACCACTTGTTCAGCACCTTTGTAACTCTGAATAACCATAACTGAATAACTGAACGAGTGGTCATTAACCAAGCACTACTTGTAGTCTTAATTCCACTGCCGAAAACCATCAAGCACAATATTCAAAAGAATATTTGCATGATCACCTCCCTGTCATGGTTACTGGAGTCAGTTCTCTAGCTATCTATGCTATTTTTCTTCAATTTTATTATGCCCAGCAGGAACATACACATGGCCCCACAAGCAATCAAGTTTCTATTAATTGCAGTAAGCTATAGGCATAGATATGCTCATATTCTAAACCTGAAGAAAAGTATGTCGACGCACTATATAAAAATATGCCCAGTCAAGCAAAGATATTCTCAGGTAATTACCACTGCTTAGCCCCCAAATACAACAATTCCAGTCTAAAATATGATTTTGAAAAGAATGAATACCATAGTTACCTGTCCAGTCTCTGTTTTCTCACTGCACCACTTCCCCAAATCTATCATGCACTTGTCTTGGAGAGCTGGATCTAGTTTCACATCCAAAGCACGCTGATGCAGAATTCTTTGTACTTCCGCTCTGCATTCCCGGGATAACTATCAAGGACAAGTATTGAAATTTGATCCAGATGAACAAACACAACCACTCAAAAATGTGGTTTTGCCTTCAAGATGTAGACACCAATTTTCTATGCCATTGTTGACCAAATCCAATGCCAGGCCAGGACTCTGTGTCCTTTGAATTCTTACTTTCTTTGCAGTCCCCTTCAAATTCTTACTTTCATTGCTATTTGAATGGATTATTTCCCAGCTAAAAATCATTTAATTAGTAAGTATTTAAACAAATTGCCACAAGAAGGCAGCAACTGAACCAGCTAGATCAAGTGATCTAGCAACAATTCTTGTTGTAGGCAACTAAAAATACACCCAATCTCTAATTTGTACGTGTGTCAAAGGGCTCACAACTCCAAACTTTCTACCCCACATTTAGGAGGTTGCTTACACCAGAAGCCTCACAAACATAACAATGCTAGATAAGTTGCCTAATTACAGAAAACAAAGTCATATACCAGCAGAAGACCTGCCTATTGCGGAATGCAGACATCAGATTAAAATTAACGTTTTAAAATGTTAAAACTAAGTTAAGCAAAGCCAAATACATTGGAAAAGAAGCAGGGAATGAAACTAAGAGATGCCCCATTCCTCCTCTGGTCTTTTTACAGGAAGTTTCTTCTATAAAGTTGGCTATATAAACCTTTGCCTTCATAGATTTTTTTTTAATCTATAAAGTGCCACAATCTCATTTCAAAAATCCATTCTTCCTAGGAAGCAGTTGTGGTTCAATTTCCCCAGATCTCAAATATATTATAAGAAAATGATGAACCAAGGTGTAATTTGCACAGAAAGGATTTGATCAATCCCACATCCACAGCTGGGCAACAGCATACAAAACCTTCTTCCCACAATGTCAGTTACTTGTCTGTAACACTGGGAAAGAGATCTTCCTGTAGAGGGTGAAAAATACAGTTTTCCCACTTCCTTTTTTGTCCCCACATCCTACCTCTATTTGCAAAAAGTTTGCATTTATTAAGTCCAGATGACTCTATTTCATTAATCTTGGACCAGAGACCATACAGCTACAGTCCAAAATATCCAGAGGACATCCAATCCCTTTGTGGGATGTCAGGCAGTCTTTCACCTCACCTGCTACCTAATTCTTTTTCCCAAGAGATGTCAAGATCAAACCTGGAACTTTTTCATATGCAAAGCCCATTGCATTTTGGAGCTTCACCCACAGTGACTAAGAGCTCTTGACCCCTTGTGCATCCTTGGCTCATTACAGATGCAAGGACAGTTAACATTCGGCAGAGTTTCAGCTGAGACTCCATGCATAACACCCTTGTATGCACATGGAACTTCACAGCAAAGCTGGTTGGACCATAATAGGTCCAAGAAACTTGTCCAGAAGAACACATCTGCTTTGTCTTCCCAGATGCTCCCAGAGCCATTTGCTTAGTTTCTCTGCTTCCTTAGGAATATTCAAAGACTGCTTCAGGAACCAAACCCACCATATGCTCCCAAATCATATTCATTCTCTGAGAAGCACTAAGATCTGCTGAGGAGCTAAGTAGATAATGCCCACCCTTCTTCCCTGCTCTTCTGTGCGATAAGCATGTCTGTATAGGCAAGAGAAGATTGCTCCAGGAGGAATAATCTCGCTTGTTTCATTCCAGCCATGTGTGTGACAAAGTCGAGATGCGTCTCCTTGGCACTTGCGGTAGAGGACAGAGTCCAACCTGTGAGAGCAAAAGGAGAAATCACTAGCATCACCATGAGATTCTTGGATGACCTTGCTCCCCACCACAGCAGTGGACATGGTAGGAAGTTCCATTATGACAAGCAAGGCCTCTCAAAGACCCGATGTCCAGCACTCACTTCCAATCCCGTGAAATAAAGTATTGAAGCTCCAAGAGCCGGTGTTCACAATCCTCCACCATCTTCTCTGTGTACAAGTGCTCCATAAGGCAAGAAAGAATCCTAGGGGAGAAGGAGGAAAGTTAGACTGCAATTCAGCATCTCTGAAGCTGTCAGATTAGGTGCAACAACAACCAGCCTCTCACAGGCAGGCAGGCAAACCGAACTGCAACACCCACAAACCTGCTGCCTGATGCAACCACACAGTCTTCTCTGGAGAGAGAGGCCTACCTCTGGTCTATGCTTTCTCTATATCATTTGTAAGACTAACTCGTAGCGGCATTAAAAAGTCAGTCTGAATCCTTGTACCTATCTAGCTCTTGGCAACCAACTTCATCTAAAAGCTAGGATTTCCCAGAGTTTCTTTTAAGCAAGATATACTGAAAGGGAACAGCATAAAATTATAAAAATCTCAGCAACTTTGGAGCCCAATTTACCCCTCAGCTTGTTAAGGCAGAGAGTTTTTTCAGTTTTTTTACCAATAGCCTCTCTGAACCAGTAGAAGACTGTTTACTTCCCTGATAACTAAGGGATGCACAAGTACTCTTACTTAGTCCAAGTCTTCCCTCCAACATGAGACACCTTGAATCCATCCCTCTTCTCTGTTAGGTTTCTTCTACCTCAAAGCAGCATGCAACAATTGTAGCCAAAGAAGACAGGGCTTGGTCACCTACATGGGGTCTCCAGCACGGATGTGCTTGCAGGCTGTTTGTATCACTGACTCACAGGCTTCATTCAAAGCTCGGTCAATGCGATAATCAGCCACAGGGTCCACCTCCTGGATCAGAGTCTGAAGCTGAAAGAGGGAGAAAGAGCTTAATACCCAAAGTCCTTGTTGGAACAGCAGTCTCTCCAACTGTTAAGTTCAGGGACTGACTCTGTAAGACGACAATGTTTTTGAGGCATGGATGTCACCCATTCCTTGCATCAAACACAATAGCTAACAACCCACCAAACAGAAGCTGCTTTGAGCAAAGGATTTTTTCAAGCCCAAGCCCAATCAAAAGCAAATGGCTAAACTTCAACTAGGTCAGATCCCAACGTTTTGTCATACCACTCCTTCGTTTGCAGCAAACAACTGCAAGCTTGGAGTCAGACAGACAAAGTGTCAGACTACACCACAACCCAGCAAGGCCCAGACATTTGCAACCCCAAGTACTTGGGGCAACTAAGGTTAATAATGAGATAATAACTAGAACAACCATAGCACTACAGGGTCTTCTCTCATCACAGAGCTGACAAACAGGAAAGCCAAGAGTCCAAAGAGAAGCCATACTGGGCAGTCAAAGCCCACGTCTCCCTAATTCCAGCCATGAATACAAGCAGCAACCTCCCAAATCTGAAACAGACTTTTGGTAAAAATGGTGCTTTTGGTGTGAATGACAGCCTAGGGATTGGTGCTCTTCGTTATTTCATTTGGGACGGGCAGAAGGTGAAATATAAGCCATTGGACCAAAATGAAGCAATTATGGAGAACATGTTGACTTATGAGTCATATTTTAATACAGAACAACATTAACAGAGAGGTGGCCAGCTTCCAAAGAAAGCAAATCTCAGTGGAGCACTGAAGAGACCTCAATGCTTATTGTGTCCTCTTACCCATTCTTGGAAGGAAAGAAAGTCATGTAATAGCTTCTTGTAAAGAAGCAGAGTTATATTTAAACCTTATCATTTCATGGTTTTTTAATGAAACTTATAGCTGGAAACAATGTCAGCTTTTGCTACTCTCCTCCTGATTCAGTGGAGAGGAAATTGGGCAAAGCCATTCATTTGTTGTGACTTGGGACTGCAATTAACCACAGCCTTTTAAAATCCTTGCACTATCTTTGCAAGCTAAGGGTGTTTCCTGTTTTTTTGCAGGCAATTTTTTTCCTGAAAAAACAAGTGCCAACTGCCAGGAAGTGTGGCAAAAGGGGTCAACTGAGGTGCATCCCATCCACTCCCTTTTTTGGATATGCTGCAGTCCCTTGATGAAAACCTGTCAAGGAAATTTGGACTGTTCAAAGGCATCAAACTGTCAGCTTCCTTGCCCTAATGCACATATCAGTGTGAGGGGTGTACCCAACGATGGAGGCCTAACTGCCTGGAGGGAACACCAGCATAATCGGTTCCTGCCTGGTGCAAAATCCAGAGATTACAGTCTCTCTCACAATTAAGCACAAGGAAGTTTTCATTTCAGGCAACACTCAGTTATCCTAGAATCAACATTAAAAAAGAAAGCCAAAAAATTATGGCCTCCACCAGCTCAAAGCATAAAATTATCATAGCCCTTAGCTCATATACATCTAGCAAGCTCTTGGCAGAATAAGTGTCTTTTATTTAAGAAGAGGGGGAAAAAATAGTAAAAGATTAATATTCCTCCCTTTTTCCATGTTAATTCCCACAACTACCATTTACTTGGAAATACTGAATCGAAATACTATGCTAGCAAGATTGCCATGCACAGGATTAAGAGAGGTGGTGGCTACATGGAGCAGATCCAAGTGAACATGCCCTGAACCTAAACCGCCCCATTCCCACACTACCCCGGCCTTCTCCTGTTTTGGGGTTGTTAATGCAGACTAGCTGTACCTTTTCCGCATCTACAGTAAGAGGCTGGAACTTTGCCATTATCACCTCCAATCCCCCCCTCCAATCCATACTATTTCTCCTTCACCAAGAATTAACATTCATATCCTGTAATATACGAAAAGCAATACAGCAGTTTTCATACCATGGACGCAGAAATTAGAGATACCCACATAGCTGTCTCAGCAAGATACTTGCTGCAGAATGCAGACAAAGGGTCTGTATATACATTATACAGTCTGTGTGTTTAGGCACCCCTTGTCAAACTACTGTCATGTGAAAACGAAAGAACACCCTCTTTGAGTTCTATGGTTTTACGTATCAGGACTTAACAAAAATCATCTGGTCCTCAGCAGTTCTCAAAAGTAGGTAAATACAACCTCAGATGA